CTACTCACCAAGGTAGAATGTAGAACATTGTCTTTATAAACTGTGTTATGCCAATTGAGCTAGATGTTCCCCGAGACCATGGTCCCCACTAGCTGTGTAATCTTGAGCCATACCTTTATCCTTGCTGGTTTCAATTCCTCATCTGTAAAATGGGGATGGGAAAACAAGGTCCATTTTGGCTCTAACATTCTGTGGTTCTAAATAGTTTCAGTATAAATAAAATAGGTCTCTGCTTCAATGCTACCTCCTGAAAGAGGTTTTCCCTGACCCGTCCATCTAGAATAGCAGCCCCCTCCATTCTGTCCCTTTACCCTCCTTGACTTCTCTTCCTATTATCGACCACCAACACTGTATCATGTATTTATTTCTCTGTGTTGTGTTTTCTTCACTAGACTATAAGCTCCATGAGGGCAGGGATAATGTCTTCTGCTAACCACTGTTAGCACACATAGCACAGTGCCTGCTATATGTAAGCACCTAACAGTTATTGAACGCCATACACCAGGCATGGTGACAAGGATTTCGTATGCCTGGTCTTAGATAATCCTCACTACAACCCTGTAAAGTAGGATCTTTATTACTTCCCATTTTACAGGGAAGGAAAATATTACTTACAAAGTTGAAGAAACTTGCCCAAAATCGTACTGGTCAATGGTAAAGACACTTATGAGAAAAGACCAATTTTTCCCAGAGTTCGTATTTTTCCAAAGCCAGGGGAATATGGAAAGACTGGTTTTCACTGCTTCCACTCTCTGTGTGGGACAAGTCTGGATGGTTTCGTGACTGGTGACAGCTCAGATCACATCAAGGTTCTGGGCTGCCTGCTGCCCTTGAATGGCTCTGGCAGGACTATTTTCTGTCTTTCCCAGCGTCAACACCTGCTGGGTTTGTTATAGGAATAAAATGAAAAAAGAAACCAGGAGCCAACACCATTAAAATTAAAATAAAACAAAAAATGTCTTCATCTGGAGTTTTTTTATCTTTACCAGCCTACTACATGTTTGTATGAGAAGACTTTTCCACTCCCAAGTTCTCCAATTGTGAACAGTTCCATTTATAATTGCTTGAAAGATAGAACTATTATTATTTTCCTAAGTTCAAAAAATATTCCTTTCCAACACTACCAAAATGGACAATGCAACTGAATCAATAAAACTCTGCCACTCGGGGAGGGCCACTCTGTTTCCCAGGGCTAACCTTTGAGTTAATTACCTTTAACTTTTTTAGCTCCTGAAGGATCATGTAATCAGGCATGTTGTCAAAGAGTCCATCTGTCGCCGTCAGGATAATGTCTCCTAACTGGACATCAAAAGATGTGCTATCAGCAGCGTCCGGGCTGTGGCAAGGACAGGGGAGGAGCAGAGTTAAGAAAACCCCTTAGAGATACAATTCAAAGTTTCCTTCAGGCACTCTGCACACGTTGGAAGCGTCTTCAGGAAAAAGTAATTTATACTAGTGCAGTCAACGACAAAAATGGAGTGAATAATAAAAACCAGTCACTTTTAGGTTAAGATCCCTAACCTTGAAAAATTTCACTGGAAACGCTGACATAAATATTTCAAAAGTGTAACACACCCTACTAAGAAACACTGAGTCTGATGATAAGTCACATGTGGTTCAGAAAGGAGGACAGTTCTGAGTCAGATACTAACATGCCTCTAAAATCTGGATGGAAATGAGCCTTTATTTCCTAATTCTTCAGAGCCAAATTCCGTCCTCTCTTAACTCAGGTTCACTCATCAGTCTCACGGCCAGCTGGAATCTGACTCTCAGGAGGCTCTGTTAGGGTAAGGGGGGGGATGCTGAGTACCCAGGGAAAGAAAAGCACACACAGATCCTGTAAAAGCCACTTCAAATTAAAACCCTACAATGGTTTTGGCTTAGTAAGGACGGTGTGTCTCCCAGTGCTCACACACTGCTTGTCATTCACAAGGTATTTATTTATTAGCGTGCCCGGCACATGGTAGGTCTTTAAGAAATATCTGTCAAATGAATAAATGAATGAAGAAACAAAGTATTTGACCCTCCAAACTGAGGGGGAAAAGAAAAAAACCTTCAATATGTTGTTAAGTGAGGAAAGCAAGGTGCAGTGTGCATAGTATGCAACCATTTCTATAAAAAGGAGGGGAAATACATAAATGCAGATGCAGAGCTCAGATCTGGAAAGATTCAGGGACACTGCTAACACGGCTGCCTCTAAGGAGAGAAATGGGCAGCTGGGGGCGGGGTAAGTGGTAGATTTTTCACTGTACATCTTTTTGTGCAAAATTTTCAGAGATAGATGGGAGATTTTTCCTCTGATGATGCCTGATGAAACAGACATAAGAACCCAGGTGGGGAGAAAAGACCATACATTCAAAGAGTTGATGGCCCCTCTGAGGCTGGTTCTCCACTACTTTAGGAGGCCAGCTCTACTGCTTCCTGGCCTCCAAAGTGATAGAATGGTGAGATATCTGAAAATCTGTCTTCACCTGGAAACCTCTCCCCCTACCCCAAATGAGGGAACAACAGCCAGGAAAAAAATTCAGACACTGACTCGGGCTAGAGGAGGGCAGAGGGGGTACAGAACCAAAGCACCCAGAAAAACCCAAAAACGTATGTAAGCAGCATGATATAACATTTGTGAAGAAAAAACATTAAAACAAAGAAAAACCTACACATGCTGGGGATTTACATGAAATGCAGTGAGAAAATGTCTGGTTCATCTTCTCCTGATGGAGGAAAGATGCTGGGAACGTTTCGTGATGCACTTTGGCAAGAACAAATGAACTTTGAGTTACACATTTATACAATAAATGTTGTAAAAACAGCTACTAAAGGAAAACCTGTCAGTTAAGGTTAAAATGGTATTTTATAGATAAAAGGGACCCATAATAACCATAGAGATACATGTAGCAGGGGGATAAAAAAAGACTGTAAAACTGGTGGAAAACAGGTCTTTATCCAAGGAATAAAGAGAACAATACAAGACACTTCACATTTGCTCAGTCTCTGGAAACAAATCAGATTCTAGAAGTTTAGATTAATGAGCAGGTTGGCAGTGGAGTTGGGTTTTATGCTGAGGTTTTCTTTTCCCCGGGAGTGTCCTTTGCTATCTTGCCTGTGAGAGACTTGCTACCATTGGACAGTTCGTCCTCTTCTCCTAACACTCCCACCCAGGAGCTTGGTGTTCCGCCAGCTGCAGTTCTGCCCATTTTGATTGAACATACTGTGCTGCTGAAAACTTTTGACTGCACTGAAACATGAGCCGAAATCACATGCTAGTGAGCCCTCTCTGGGCTCTGAGGGAAGCCATTTCCACCTCGGGGCAGACCAGGCAGAGTGCTTCCCTAAGCAGACCGCCCCCAAATGCAATGTGTGAGATACAGCAGCACCGTTCTGGCACTCAAAAGCCCATGCAAGAACCACCAAATGAATGAAGATTAAAGCACCACTCCCCAAAAACCGTTAGTTGAGCTTAGTATCTACTGAGGCCTTGGGTTCTGAGTTCTCCTCACTCCACTACGGGTTGAAATGAATATGTAGTACAGTCAGTTGAAGAAGTATCTATAGTCAGATACTCTTCCAAATATGGTAATCTGTCTAAATCTGAAAGTAAAAGTGCTTCACTCTCTCGAAGAGTCAGCAACAGGCTTTAGATGGGCAATTCTTAATTCCTAACTATATGATACGCTCGTTCCAGTTTAATAGTTTTATTTTGGTGTAAACTTAAGATTTGGTTTAATAAGAGCCATTAAAAAGAGACATCAGGCACTTGCTAGAATGTGTCTGTTTTTATAAAAGGTCCATTACCGTATTTTTATGCAAATAATGTGCTCCTTATACGTTTGTCAACCACTCCCTCCCCACTGCAAAGTATTTTCGTAAGCACATTATGCTCTTTTTTTACAGCAACATGTAAAAAAAAAATTGGCATAGCTGCACTTACGAAAATACCTTGAAGGGGAATGGAGTGGTTGGCAAACAAACGTAGAAGGCGCACATATTTGCATAAAAATATGGTACTCATTTAACAAACATTTATGAATTGCCAGCAGCGTTTGTGCCAGGTCCTGCCTACCCTCACTGTACTTACGGGGGAGCAAAGGGGACCTGTGGATGAGCCACATGCTACTCACAATGGTACTAAGGGGAGATGACCTGTCATTGCAAGGCTGTTAAACGGCAGTGAAATCTGAGACTGTCTTAACCTCACTCTGTACATTCATATTAGAAAAGATAAAACTGTAAAAATTATGTTCTGCTGTGGACATTCTCAACAACAACAAAGAATAAGTAAATAAATAAAAACTAAAAATTAACTCAAAAAAGTACCAATTGTCTTACAGGGTTCCTGTCTTAAAAATGAACTGTGAGAAGGCATCAGGAGTAAAAAAGAACAGCTCAACAGCATCATCACAGAAGAATAAATCTGAGACCACATTTGATTCCCTTTCCTGGACCTTAATTCCCCCTTGACAGGTTCTGCATGGATTGCAAGCTCTAGCTGACACATCTAACAGGATGCCCCGGGAACCTGGAAGCTGTTGCGACAAACAAAGCAGATGCCTGTTTTTGTGCTCTTCCCTAACAACGTATGCAAACTTTCTTACAGGCACTGGCATGCATGAACGACTCATTTCTCCAGCACAACTTGCCAGATACAACTGTATGTACTACTACATGGTGTTGGTATGAAAAATTGTATCTGGCTATTCTCTAAGCTTGAAGTAGCATTTTCACAGTCTCGTCAGATTATTGGGTATCAGAATTTGATTTGGTTCTAATATCAAGTGTAAGCAAAATATCTTTCAAAGTGTCAATCTAAAAGGTTCTCCTGATGAGAATGCTCTCAGTGTCTTTTTTTCTCACATGAAAATGTAAAATGCCTACCTCCACTGTACTTATGGGGGAGCAGAGGGGACCTGTAGATGGGCCACATGCTATGCGCAATGGTGCTAAAGGAAGATACCTGTCACTCAAGACGACGCCCTCGGCTTCAGGTGGTGCGATGGAGAGCTGGAATGGAGTGTTGAAGTAATGCTGCTGCTCATCTGACCGGTGCACAACTTCGCCGCCCCGGACGACCAGGAAACCGGAATCGCCCAGGTTTGCTGTGTGTAAGCGGTGGCTAGTTCTGTCCAGCACTACGATGCAGGCAGTGCTGCTACCTAGAAACACCAATAATTTCCATCAAGGCTGCCTCTGCGTACTTACTTTCATTACATAGTTCCTGAGAGCAACATGCCTTTATTTGAGATCCTTTGCCTAAACAGGATCTTTCTAAGATATGCTCCATAACCCTATGAATGTCAAAAGTAACCTGATCAGGGTCAGCATGGTGGGGTAAGAAAAAGGGATTTACATTATACATTTGCAGAGATAGAAAACAATAAAAACGGCTGGTATTTAACCACACTATTTCTTTTCAACAGTGCAATTATCTATGCCAAATGCTCAAAAGCTCTGCATGTTGTTGAGATATTAAATTTTAATATTTAAATGCCAGCATGAGAATGTTACATTTTCCTGCCACTTCTCATTAGTCTTTGGCAGGAAGCCTTCTCCATGAAATTCACTAACATTTAAGACAGGGCACATAACTAAAATTTTAAGCCAGATTTCCATCTGTTGAGGTCACGAAGAACTTTTTTATTGGAGACTAATGAAAGACTCACAAGGAAGGAACAAGATCAACTGTCCCAAGTAGTTTGGGAAATCAACCTGTTCACTTCACAGGGATTACTAGTGTTTAGAGGGGAGAGCCACATTCCAAGCAGTGAGCAAAGAGCATCTGTGCACCTTTGCTGCACATGGTGGGCACAACCTTTCCTAGACGGAAAGCCTGATAACAGTAGTACAGATCACATTAATAAAACTTAAGCCTGTACTATACTGACAAACGGCAAAAGAGAAAAATAGGCAGTTCACCAAGAGATAAATGATCATCTCACTAGTAACTATTCTTGCCTATCAGTTTAACAAGAGGTTGAAAGAAAACAATGCCAGGGATGGCGAGAGTGTAGGAAACCACACTCACTCTCATTCCATGGAGAGAGAGAGAGTACAATTGAACAACCTTTCTGAAAGGCGACACAGCCCTGAAAAAATGTGCATAACCGCTGATCAAGCAATTCCACTTGTGAGCATTTATTCTGAGAAAATCATTGGAGATGCAAACAAGACAAAATACTGTTTAAGATCAGGAAAAGCTGGAAAGCACGTGAATACCTAAAATGAAGGGACTGGTTAAATAAATCACAGTACATCCATACAGTGGAAGGTTATACACTCTCCCTGGAGATAGCCTGCCTGTGTCTAGATCCTAGCTCTGCCAGTTACCAGCTGTGTGAACTGGGACAAATGACTTGATCTCTCTGTACCTCAGCTTCCTCATCTATAAAAATAGGGGTAATAGTAACTACCTCATAGAATTGTTTGTAATGATTAAACAAGTCAAGTCATGTCAAACACTTACAACACATAGTGTTAGCTATTTAATAGCCATTAAAATTATGTTAAAAAAATAGATTTGAAAAGGAAAGAAAATTAAAACGAAACAAGTAGATTACAAACTAGTACTAAAGTGTCCTTAAAAAAAAAAAAGTGTTATCAAAACTTAAAGAACTCTGTACACCAAAAAAAGTTGAGTTTATAAAAATTAAAAAAAAAAAAAAAAGGCAATAGTTCGTAAAGTCCAAACTGTTAAGATGATAGTTACAAAACAAAACCACCAGGCTGGGGAACCAGCTGTGTTAAATCCCAGCTCCATCATTTTCCAACTGTGCAACATAAAAAAAGAGGGGATATAAAAGTCCCTACTTCACGGGGCTGTTTTGAGCACCCAATAAAAACTCAATACAGTAAAACTCGCAGAAGCTGGAACCTGTGTAAGGTGGAAACCTGTCAGAGAAACTCAAATATTTTCCACTAACAGAGAGCAACAGAAAAGTGGTAAGCTGCACCCTGTCAAAGGCAGAAAACTTGGGAGATTCAGAAAACAAAGCAGTCCCATTAAGTTCCGGCTCTCAGAGGTTTCACTGTACATGCTATTATTATTCTATGTATAAACATACATAGAAAGGAATCTGGGAGCATAACCACTAAAATATTACAAGTTTTATTAGAGGGATTATGGGTAATTTGATTTTTTGCTGTTAAGTTTTCCTTAATGAAAATGTATAACTTAATGCTAAGACATGTTCTATTAATGAGTCTCCTCTTCATTAACTGTCAAAGAAAAGACCAAAACAGGCACTGTAACTAGCTGCAGTGCCGTCAGAGAATCCACTGCACCACGGTCAGAGCTAAGATCGCCGCTTACCTTTCCTTCCTAACGCAGTGAAAAACAAATTCCAATCATTTATCATTAATACAATCACCATGCAAAAGATCTTCTCAACACTGACAGGATTAAATTCTACTGAGAATGAAAGATGACAGATAATAGCACACCCTTGAAAATTTTGCTGCAGGAAGGACTCATGGTGACTCATCAGTACTCACTGACAACCTAGGCTATCATTTTGCTACCCCTGCGGCAGTAAATAGCTGAGTTAGAACCAAAATGGTCCTCCTGAAGAAGCTTTATTATCCAAAGCAGCACCAAACAAATGCAAGGCCAGCCTTATAGAATCATCTGGACGTGGAGTGTACACTCCTCCTTCGCCTCCTCAGATTACTGACGGATGCATACGGCTTAGGACCCGGCAGCCTGATACTGGGAAACACGAGCTCACCACTCTTACGTGTTTGAGGGGAACAAGCAGGTAAAGAAGAGAAAGAAGAAAAGAGGTAGCTGAGAACGACAGTGCTGGTGTGCAAACAACTGACCAATACAGGCAGGCACCAGGCAACTCCCTCACGCTAATATGGAAATATCTGTTATCACTCAGGCCCTTGTTTTGTAAACTACTACTAAGCCTTTTGTGCAGCAAACAGAGAAACAGACAGCCTTATTAGGACTGGCACCTCAAATTCTTCAGATATGTTGAATTCATATGAATTAAATTCACTTAAGGGTCTCCCAGGCGATATCTGTCAGCAATTAGCCTGTGATGCCAACCCAGACCCAAAAGCACTTGGAAATTCTCAAAAAGAAAAAAAGAAAAAAAGATCACAGCTATCAGCTTGTTCTTTATATTGAAATGGCTTTGTAGGCTTTTTAGTTTAGATTAAAAAAAAGAAAAAAAAATACACACACACACACACACACACACACACAGAGCAAAAGCTGGACCTGTGTTAAGGTGCAAACCTGTCAGAGAAGGAAAACGCAAATATTTTCCACTAACAGAGCAATAGAAAAGTGGTAAGACTGCACCCTGTCAAAGATGGAAAATTTCGAGGCCTGGAAAAACAAGGCAGTCCCATTGAGTTCCGGCTCTCACAGGTTTCACTGTATAGAAGATATATAACCTAATATTTTAAAGTTATCAGTATTTACAATTACATCTAACTAAGGTTCAGTAAAACTCAGCAGCCTGTGTTTGCCAAAATATGCTTGCTTTTAAGATGTGTAGACTGGGCGAGAGAGATGTGTATGTGTCAAACATGGTAACAAATGATTATTTCAACATGTCTTTTAGGAGAAAAAAAGTACTTATAATGTTCATTGTAAGAGAACTTCTAATATGTCCTTAAATTTATTTTCTTATCATCTCCCAGTCAAATGAGGCTGAATAGGAAAGGAAATAGGAATAAGGGAAAAAAACATACCAAAAAACAAGGCTATTAAAATGCAAAATCAGGATAGTTTTGTAAACTGGTTTCCAAGGCAAAGTAAATGCACTGGGGGCTGGGGGGCAGAGCCCTCCTGGAAACATGCAGGAGTCAGCCCCCTGGGATCTGTTTCTCTGGGCGCTCTCTCCTTTTAATATATGAAATAGGGGGTCAGAGGTTAAGTGGTTTTAGGAATAAAGTCATATAGCCTGTTGACAGAAAGGTGCTAAAAACAGAATCTAGTATGTTTAACTGTGCCAGGCCAGCTCCAAATTACGTGTCCAAAATAGGAGATTAAGACAAAGCAGTATACTGAAACCACAAGACAAGATTTCTCTTTAGTTATAAGGAAAACAAGCTGGTTAATCACAGCATGGGGAAGACAGAAGACAGCCGCGTGGTGAAAAGAGTCCCTTCTTAAAAAATGATTTAAAATTGGAGGCAAAATTCTACAATGTGGAGATCTCCACGAACAAACAACAGAGGCTGATTTTTACTGTGGATGGTATCTGGCAGGGAGGCCTTCTAGTAACCAGAAAGATGCTGGCAATTAGCAGAAACTTAATGACACCCTTTCTGAGAGCCTGCTTAGAAGGCTGGGTAAGTTGTTGGGTAAATTCCCAGGGAATAATTTAACAAAAGTAGTAGCTCGGCCAAAGGATGCTCCATTAGCATACCAAATAAGCACTATGTGTTTGGTTTTAAGTTTTCTAATACAAGATTAACAGATATTTATTTTGTGCCATGCTATTTTTCCGACTAATCCATTAGCAGAGCCCCTGGTGTCTATTTGCACAAAGGAGTGGGTAACCTCCCACTCGGAACTCCTGGCAGGTAATCAGCTGAATTTTAAATACCCAGCCCCCAATCCCTTCCCTGCTCCCTCAGAGATAACCTCTATCCTGAATTTTAGATTCCTTTACTTTTTCTTTATTCTTCTATCATATTTTAGAATTCCTAAACAATACATTTTAATTTTTTTATGTTTCTGGACTTGAAATATATGGAATCATACTGTGAAGTGGTATTCTGCAATTTCCTTCTTCCCTTAATAATATGTTCTTGAATGTTGCAGATAGCTTTAAGTCATTTGTTTTCACAATGCGTTTTTTGACTACTGATGGACTTTCAGGTTGTTCTCAGTTTTCTGTATTATTGACAATGTTGCTATGAACATTCCTGCACCTATGTGCTGGTACACAGGACTGGCAAGTTTCTCTAGTCTAGGCTATACACCTAGAAGAATTGCAGGGCATGCCATGTGTCCTGTTTATTCAGTAATACCTAATCGTTTTCCAAAGTGTCTGTATTTATATTCCCAGGAAGCAGTATTAACTATTTAAAGTTCAGCTGATTACCTGCCAGGAGTTCCGAGTGGGAGGTTACCCGTTCCTCTGTGAAAATAGGCATCCGGGGGGTCTGCTAATGGATTAGTCTGCAAATAGCACTGGTCTATATCTTCTCTATCAAACTGTTTCATAGCATGAGCCTCAGGAAAAAGTTAAGCTGGTGACTGATTTTCTTTATTCTTAACCATCTACTGGGCTTCTTTAAAGGGGAAAAAACATATAGGCGATCTACTTACCAAGCAAAGGTACTTTATTTTGCAGCAGCTCACAGTAGCTTGTGGTGAGAATTCCAATGGGATTACTCGGTACGAACCGTCCTTCTTTTACTAAACGTTCACACGTTCGCATTAAAGTCCCTGAGAACTGTGACGGATCAACTCCATAGTCTCTCCATCCTCCTACACCATCTGCAACCCCTTAACAACAACAAAAAAAAAGATAACATTTAAAGAAGGTTCTTAGCAACTTCTCAGGAATTCTTTCCCCTGTCTCCATCTAACAGTTAATTTTACTGTATACTAGTCACCATGAGTCAGAATCAACTCAATGGCAACTGGTTTGTTCTTTGGTTTTTAGTACATATATTTGCCCGGAAATCCAGAATAAAAAGTCCTCAAGTTTAATGTATTATAGAGTCACATGGGCATAGTAGGGATACTTAGAATTTGGTCTTTCATATGTTGATGAATAAACATTTTGAGCTACCACAGGGTGGCATTGCCTATCAGCCAATAGTTCAGTTTCAGCAGGATTGTCATCTTTGTGTAGGAGTATTTGAGCTAATAATACTTTACTGCATTTTATAATAAAGAATGAAAATTGATTAAAAAAAAAAAAAAAAGGTGCTGATGCTAGCAATAATACAACTTAGAGCTGGCAATAATTAAGAACACCAACCCTTTGCAAAGCACCTAGTAGCTGTTCTTTCCAACATTTAAATCTGTTTCTATCTACCAAATTCAAATAAACTGAGAGCACTACAATGTTAGGTATGTACATTATCGAGGCTTTAAATGACCATATATGAACCTTTCGGGAAGGATATATAAAAAAAATTAACAGTAGTTGGTTTGGAAATAAGGGATTGGAAGCAATTAATGAACAAGGGGTTTTTCTTTCGCCTTTTATTTCACAACATTCTGTACTGTTTAAATTTTATTTTTAAGAGCATATATATTAAAATTTATTACAAAAAATTTATAATAAAAATGTAAATTAGGGATTTTATAATTTTTAAGGCTTTCTGAGAATGACTCATCCTCTTCCCAATATACACATTCATGTTTTTTGTACATTCAACTTTCACACACATTTTTTAGGAAAGTATTTGGTACAAAAGTAGGATACATACATACATACATACATACACATATATATATATGTATATATATATATGTCTCCCTGAAAAATTGGCTTAATGTAAAATGGACACAGGGAACTCTATTTTCTTAGTGATGCCAGGTATCAAACAGAAAAGGAACACACCCTGAAAAAGTAAGAGGAAACAGAACTGAAGACAGTAAAAAAGGCGACAAATAACATCACCTGTGGGGCAGTGGCTTTCCTCACCTTATATGACCAACCAATCAGCACGATCTCACTAATTCTAAATTAGCTGACTAAATGATACGATGTCTGGGATTTGCTTCAAAATAATTCGGGGTGGGAGTGATGGGGGAGTAGATGAAACAGGACTGGCATGAATGGATAATTGCTGAAGTTGTATAATAAGTACACTCATCTCTACTTTGGTATATATTTGAAATTTTCCATCATACAAAGTTTAAATAACAACAACGATAACAAAGCAGAGGTGGTGAGGGAATACGTATCACTTTTTAGTCTATTTTTCAAGCAGTTATGAGATTTGAGAAACTATTAAGAGGATTTAAGATAATTTAATAGGGACTTCTTTTGAGGAATTCTTTTTCACTAGGCTTAAGATTTCACCAGGAATTTAAATCCAACAATTTATGTTAAAACACAGAATGCAATTATAGTCTTTGCAGTGCCATCTGAGGAATCATTCTTTTCAAACTGCTGCCTGCTTGAGGGAAGAACTTAACCAGTCTTTGATACAACAGCCACAATTAATTTTAAATACAAATTAGCTTCATCTACAAATGCCCTTCACAAGAAAACCATTAAAATCTGAGATAACGTGGAAAGTCAATCCTGGTGCCCACTAAATAATCTGTCAGCAGGTTATAGAGCCTGATCTGATCCAGCCCTGCAACATTAATCAGATTTCTCCCAGAATAGAGTGCAACCTTTCAGGCACCTGTTTGCTTTTTACACGGAAAAAGGATCCCAGGCAAAACTCCACTGGTCAAGTCGCCTTAGGAGAAAAAAGATTCAAAAAGCATATAAACTTTTCAACAAGACTGTGGAAAGAAAGCCTTAGTGTACATCTGTAATTACAAAGAACAAGTTATATAATGTGAAGAGTCAGGTTTGGGATTAGAATCAAGCTGAAACCAGAATAACCCTACCTCCCGTACATTTGAAACCCAGTTGTATTCATATTAGGCAGTTATTCTACAAGGAAATTAATATGTTCTCTATTGCACAAGCAAAAGCTTCAATCCACAAAGAGAGACAGCACCTTTTAAATAGTGGAATTAATCCAAGGGAAATTTCACTCAGAACATATTTCAAAGGTAAAGAAAACAACATTAAGGGAGAGATTGCGTAAGATCCCAAAGATACCAGCATAGCAGTTATCAAAAAGCAAAGGACAAGAACATCCCTAAAAGCAAACGCAGGCCACAAGCACACTTCCATACTGTACACTGGGCGAGGAAACGGCACGGAGAGGGAGCCGGTGCCTGCCTTCAAGATGCTTACCGTCTACTGGGGAACTTGGCAACTCACACAGAAGTAGATAAAGGGCTCCCGTAAATGCTGCTACAGGAGGGTCAAGAGGGAGGGTGTGATGCTTAGGCGGCACTGGGAGAACGGACACAAGGAAGGGTAATGGCAGACAATTAGGGGTGGCTGGGGCTTGGGTGAGTGGAGAGAAGTTGAAAAACGCAGGGCAGGAGCTGGAGTTGAGAAGGGCCCAGAATGCTAGTCTATAGATTTTATGCTATAGACCTGCGTTGTCCACTAGGGGAGCCACTAGCTACATGTAGCTACGGAGTTTGAAGTGCGGCTAGTACTAATTGAGATGTGTTGTTAAGTGTGGAGTTCCTGGGTGGAGCAAATGGTTAACGTGCTCACTGTTAACAGAAAGACTGGAAGTTCAAGTCCACCCAGAGGCACCTTAAAAGAAAGACCTGGCGATCCACTTCCAAACAATCAGCCACTGAAAACCCTATGGAGCACAGTTCTACTCTGACACACATGGGTCACCATGAGTTGGAATCGACTTGACGGCGACTCAGTTTTTGTTGTTGTTAAGTATAAAGTACATACTGGATTCCAAACAGTACAAAAAAGGAGATACCAAAATATCAGTATTATTTTATATTAAATATGTTGAAATGATAATATTTTAGATATACTGGGTTAAGGAAAATAGATAAATTAAAATTACTTTCACCTGTTTCTTTTTACCTTTTAACTATGACTACTAGAACATTTAAGGAGTCCCTGAGTGGTGCAAATGGTTAAGTACTTCACCACTAGTCAAAAGGTTGGAGGTTTGAACCCACCCAGAGGGACCTCAGAAGTCAGGCTTGGTGATTGGCTTCTAAAACCCCTATGGAACAAATTTGATGGTTATGAGGGAAGGGAGGGGTGGGGAGGGAAAATCATTAACTAGATAATAGACAAGTGTTAACTTTGGTGAAAGTAAAGACAATACACAATATAGGGGAAGGCAGCACAACCTGACCAAGGCAAAGGAAGACACTTAGAGGAACACAAGAAAAAAAACAAAAAAGACTCAACCACAGTAAATACATATACAACCTTACAACAACAGTAAAAACAACTTATGAGCAGATACACGGGCAGATGATGTATGCTGAATAGGGGAAGGAGGGATATAGGAGTACATCCACGTACGTATATAGGTTAGGCTGTGTATACTTTAACATATTTCTATGTACAGCAGATATATATTCATATATACGATAGCGCACAAAGGGGGCAGTCATAGAAGCTTCCTAGACATATCCAAACACCTTGAGCGAACAAGTTACTGGGGCTGAGGGCTGGGACCATGGTCTCGGGGGACATCTAGGTCAATTGGCATTAACATAGTTCATAAAGAAAATGTTCTACATCCTATTTAAGTGAGTAGGGTCTAGGGTCTCAAAAGCTTGCGAGCGGCCATCTAAGATACATCTATTGGTCCCACCCCATCTGGAGCAAAGAAGAATAAAGAAAACCAAAGACACAAAGAAAATATTAGTCCAAAGGGCTAATGGATCACATGAACTTGAACCACCGCCTCCACGAGCCTGAGCCCAGAACTAGATGGTGCCCGGCTACCACTACCAATCGCTCTGACAGGGATCAGAGTAAAGGGTCCCAGATAGACAGGGAGAAAAATGTAGAACAAAATTCAAATTCACAAAAAAGACCAGACTTACTGGTCTGAGACTGGAGGAACCCCCAAGAACATGGCCCCCGGACACCCTTCTAACTCAGCGCTGAAGCCACTCCCGAAGCTCACTTTTCAGCCAAAGACTAGACAGGCCTACAAAACAAACAATAACACACGTGAGGCACATACTTCTTATTCTTAGTTCAATCAACTATATGAGACCAAATGGGCAACACCTGCACAAAAGCAGGAAGGGAGAGGAAAACCGGACGAATGGAAACCAGGAACCCGGGGGTGGAAAGGGGGAGAGTGCTGACACACTGCAGGGATTGCAACCAATGTCATGAAACAATTTGCGTATAAATTTTTGAATGAGAAACTAATTTGCTCTGTCAACTTTCACCTAAAGCACGAAAAAAAAATCCAAAAAACAAAACAAAAACCTATGGAAATTATCTATGTGAGACCAAACCGTCAATAGTTACCCTAAAGCAAAGATGAAAACGCAAGGTGGGGGCAGGGAAACTAGATTAATGGAAACGGAATAGCCAGAACAGAAATAATAAGAATGTTGACACATTGTGAAAAATATAACCAATGTCCCTGAACAATATGTATAAAAATTGTTAACAGAGAACCTAATTTGCTGTGTAAACTTTCACCAAAAACACAAGAAAATATTATAAAAAAAACGAAACCCTATGGAGCAGCTCTGCACACATGGGGGTCGCCATGAGTCGGAATCGACTTGATGGCAACTAACAACAACTAGAATATTTAAAATTATATATGTAGTTTGCTTTTATATTTCTATTGAACAGCACTGCTATAGACAATGGAAAGTCACCAAGGCTTCTGGGTAGAATCTAATCTAATCTATATTTTAGAAAAATAAACCTGGGAGCAGTGTAGAGAACAGGC